TCATCTTCAGAAGTGGTCTTTTTGGTATCATATTAATTGGATGGCCAATTGAATGGCAAGTGTCCTTCAATTATTAGGTATGAGCAAAACCAATGGTTTTTTCTAATTAGAGAGTTTTTTTTTTGTCAAAAATTGAAATAGAGAAAATAAAAAATTCAGTAAAAAATGACACAATCAATAGAAAAACTTCAAAATTTACAAAAAAATTACCAACAATGCAGGAATCTTACAAACACAGATATAGTGTGCATAAAGAATATAAATTATTGAAACAAATAGTAAGGAATGAATAGAAATACAAAATTAAAAAGTAAGTAACACTCTCAACTACCTTAAACACAATAGCATAAAATGCAAAAAACAATAGTATTGCATGCAGAATAAAGGAAAACAAGATCCAAAATCTTAGGTCTAGATTTAATGTCTATTTAGAGCGACGAATTAAGTTGAAATATCATATCTTGAGTTTTCAGATCTTTTGCTGGTAGTTTAACTAGAGAAAAAAAACTATTCTTAAGAAGAAGTAGAGAAAACTAGTTCTGGAAAAAAGAAAAAATAAAAAAACCTCTAACAAAAACTTAATTAAAAGTATCAGATCAAAGGATACTTTGATACAAAGCGATGTCGTTCAGAATCAAAGGATAAACGGGCTTGGTATTTAATACACATGCTAGAATTCAAAATGACACAATTTCAAATTAGAGAAAAAATAATTTATACAATTTTACTATTTTTTGGATCATTATGTGCGGAAGAGTTTAAGGGCTCTGAGTGTGTTTTAGTTGGACTATATTGGTTTGGCCATTTTTGGGATCCAATAAGTAAAAAAAATATTACGTGAACGTATAGTTATTGTTAAATTAAGAGAATGTTAAAATGGATAAGATCAAAAATAAATTAAAACTATTATTACATTTATATCTAAATTCAATCTATATATTTAACAAAAAGTTTATCATTATTTTTCTTTCTATTGTTTCAATTGTTGTTATAAAAGTTTTATAATTTATAATAAATTAAATCACTTGATTTTTATATTTGAAAAAATAAAAATTATAATATTCACCACATGATAAAAAAAAATGAACAATAAAAACTTAATCTCAAAATATCATGCATTGCCCTTTTTATTTTTAGATTTTGATATGATGATCTTATATCGTGAGCTGATAAAAACTTTATAACAAAAGTTTAAAAGAGAACAGTTAACCCCAGCATGGCGGCGGCCGAATTCGTTTACAATAGTCAGGCAGCCCATGGCGTCGTCGAGCAAATCAGTAGTGGCCTAGTTAAAGAGTAAAGCTTTACTGGACACAAAAGTCAATATATACCGACACTTTCCAAAGCTGGTATTACTTTGCAGTCTGCCATTTGGTTTGACATCTAACTCATGCATCTTCTTCTAGTGTTAACAAGATTCCAGTTCTTCCCCTTAAATGCACTTACAGTGAGAAGGAAAGAATTTATCTTAACCCCGAATTGGGTCTTTTCAGGGATATTGCTAAGAACCCACATGGATGATGTTCGCTTAATAATATCTTTTAACAAATGCTGCAGAGATGACGATGCGCCTAGTCATCCTGACAACAGCATCTAAGTGAATCTTGATTTTTTTTTTTGGGGTCATGTCTCGTAATGGAGACATAACATGATCTTATTGCTTTGAGATCATTTCTGAAACGAATACGAACATAATTTTTGATTTGAATATTTATGTAAATCTCAACAATTTTAATTACTCTTTAAAAGTTTCTGTTTTCACAAATAAGATAATTCCAATTCCACCATGCAAGATGAATTGATTACTGTAAGAGTACGGGGACAACATCATTCCAAGACCACCATGTCTACTGTTTATCGCACACATTGTCCACTAGAAATGCCGGAAAAAGAGAGAGAATTATTGGTTTGTTTTGAGCAATGTGGCATGTCAGACTTGAAACAGGAACCTATATGATCCTTTTCACAGTACTCGTTTGTTATGTACCAGCACAGAGTAGCATAATAATTTCACAACCTTGTATCCCACTCCAAAACAAACGTGCTTTGTACTTGACACAAAAAAACTGATGAAATAAAAACAAAAATCTTTAAAGATATAAGGAGAGAAAATTCCACGTTCATTGCTAGCTAGGATGACACATTAATTTGTCCTGATAACATAAAAGAAGAACCGCAGTATAATAACTTTGGAAACAATATCCCCAACAGAAGAGAAGTGAGCATGTATGGCCTGTATTTCCTTGTCCAGCAGTGATGTCAAATCCAATTTATTTATTTATGTTATCAAACATTAATCAAACGTTGAACCTGGTGAAGTTTTGAGCCACAGAGTTCCAAAGCCAGGGCCTTTGTTTTGCTGCAGGAATTTCATAATATTGGAATTGACTTTGCCCAATATTTCGCCTACACCTACACTAGTCAATGGCAAACAAGGAATGAATGTCACTCACCCACCTCACTGCTCGGTGCTGACTTGAAATCACCCCACAAAACCGCAAATAAAAAAGCAAAGAGAATAGACAAAACAAAAGTAAGCCAACATTTTCAGATTAATCTCTAAGCTAAATGCAGATGGTAGATGCTAAACTCATGTTTCACCTTACTTAATACATACCATCGATCATGTTGATTCCTTTCTTTCTTCTAGCCCTCTAGCCTCCGGGTACAATTCTGTAAACATTAATACCTATACCCTTAATTTTTACAAAATAAGTGATTGGTCTATTCATATCACTGGCAACTAACAGTTTAAACCTTCACCCAGCGGTTTAATGTTTCGTTTCCTCCGTTTTGGAAGCTACTACTTCTATCAAAATTCTTCTCTGTCAGTTTCGTATTCAAATTCTAGAATGGAAGCCAAGCCAGTGGGCTTTTGAGAAGTTTTTCCCTGTGTTACTTTCATATGCAATATATCAACATAAAAGCCAAGTACGGTAAAAGCATCTAATCCAAGGACGAGTGTTGAAGTGGCCCCAAGGGACGGCCGGCTGACTCATACTTGAGGCCTCCTGACCCAAACCTATTAGCACCCTTCCTATCGCCAATGGTCACACATCCAACAAACAAAATTCCTGTGTGTCAGTTCATAATTGGCAAAGTATGTCATCTTCAGCATACAGATTCGATATAAGAAAGGTTAAAACGCTTGAGATTCCTCCCATTTTTTATCTTCTTGAAGCTTAGCGATTATATCCCCTTCACATTCAAATATTTATTCATGAAAATTTCACTGTCAAGGTCCACATGGCAGGCGTCAAAGTCAGAATTAAGTTTACATTCATTTGAGTATTTTTTTTTTTATCATTTCGAGGACAGGGCCCTATAT